TCGGACGTAGCGCCGCCCCGCTCTGTGCCACGCCCCCGCCTCTCCGTACGTGGGACCACCCTGCTCTGAGCCACACCCCCTCTCCGTAAGCAAACATGGCACCGCCTTGTGCTTAGCCATGCCCCCTGCCTTTCCGTACAGAAAATGGCACCTCCCACCTTGGGATTAAGCCTCCAGGTGAAGAGCTGCCTCCTGCTTCCCGACTCGGGGCCGGATCGGGTCTCCGGGCGGCAACGCAGCCCGGCTTCTGGGGCAGGGCAGGGAAGAGGTGGCTTCTCCGATCACTGGCCGGGGGGCAGGGCAAAGGCAGCCCCCAGGACCCCCTTTTGCCCTGCCACTCAGCTCTTGCCTGCCGCCTGGGTTTCCGATCACCGTCAGCAGCAGGCAGCTTCTTCCGTCCTTCCCCTTTCCCCTCCCAACATTGCACCTATGTATGCAAATTAACTGCCATCTTTGTTGGCGGTTAACCACCATCTTTGTTGGCAGGGCCCTCAGATGTGAGATGCATGACTCATCTCTGGAAATTTTACTAAATTATTTAAAGATTTATTTTCATTTGATTTTTGGTAACCTATTTGTACATTCTTTCAACAAATTTTATTGCCAAGTAAATGGTAACATTCACTTGTACCTCTCAAAAGGCCTAGAAGCTGAGCATCTCTTTGTTTGATGGTTGTTTGAGTGCTGGTCTCAGAAGGTAGTGCTCTAAGTTGTTTTTGGTTTATGTGTTCATTGATTGATTGATTGATTGACTGATTCATTGTTCAGTTGCCTTGATTTGAAAGAACATTCTCAGGGATTTAAGATAATGGAGCAATGGGAAGATGGTCACTGATGTTTAAAAAAAAAAGAAAGGATAAGTCATATGATCTTATCAATATATGCAGAAAAGCATTTGATAGGATACATCCATTTATGATTAAAACACTCAATAAAATAGAAATAGAAGGAAAGTACCTCAACATAATAAAGGCCGTATATGACAAACCATCAGCTAATATTATAATCAGTGGCAAAAAACTGAAAGCTTTTCCTCTAAAATCAGGAACAAGAAAAGGATGCCCACTCTCACCACTCTTATTCAACAAAGTTCTGGAAGTCCTAGCTAGAGCAATAAGGCAAGAGAAAGAAATAAAAGGCATCCAAATTGGGAATGAAGAAGTAAAAGTGTCACTTTTTGCAGGTGACATGATTCTGTACATAGAAAACTCTACAGGCTCCACCAAAAACTATTAGAAACAATAAACAAATACAGTAAATTCGCAGAATACAAAATCAATGTACAAAAATCCACTGCTTTCCAATATACTAACAACAAAACTTCAGAAAATAAATAGAAAGATAACAAGATAATATTCCGGTTTGCTTATGAAATGCACATGGCCTGTTATAGCTCTTTACACAGTTAAAACTATTGTGCAAAAAAAAAAAAAGTGCTGCTGTTCTACAGATTTGGGCTCTTGATTTCCCTGGAGGTTCTGAATGAAGATTGCATACAGGCTTATTAACGGCTGTCTGTGCTAAGGTCCTTCGGGACTTGTGATGGCCTTTTTGAGCATGGGGTGTAGAAGCCTTTCTGGATTTAGAAATGTCTGAGGAAGGAAGACAAAAGTCAAGGCCAGGTGCATGAAATGAGGGGCTTGCGTTTATAGTTACCTTGGGGATTTTTCTATCTTGCAGTAAAATGTTAATAGAAATTATTTGCAGCACGCCTCTATTCATTGGGCAGTTTGTTTCAAAGGGTTATTTGCCTCATCCCAGATCTTTAGTGAAATTTTATGTGTAATTACTATGTATTTATATTCCACAATGTGAATAGAACACATGTTTAGTGTTGCATTTTAGACTGACTTCTGTTTTATTAATGAAGCTGTGACACCAAGTCTCCTTTACCTTTTAAAATGTTATGATTTTTAAATTATGATTTATTTTGATTGTGGAATAAATACATGAATGAAAAATCTTTAATAAAATGAAACAAAACAATTCCATTTGCAATTTCAACCAAAAATAAAGTACCTAGGAATAAACTTAACAAAGGTTGTGAAAGACCTATATACTGAAAACTACAAAGCATTATTAAAAGAGATTTAAAAAGACACAATAAAATGGAAAAATATCCTGTTTTCATGGATTGGAAGAATCAACATAGTTAAAATGGCCATATTACCCAAAGCAATATACAGTTTTAATGCAACCCCCATCAAAATCCCAATGTCATTTAAAAAAAAATAGAACAAAAATTCATCTGATTTGTATGGAACCACAAAAGACCCTGAATAGCCAAAGCAATACTGAGAAAAAAAGAATGAAGCCAAAGGTATCACACTACCTGTCTTCAAATTATACTACAGAGCTATGATAATCAAAACAGCATGGTATTGGCAGAGAACAGACACAGATCTGTAGAACAGAATAGAGAGCCCAGATATAAAACCACATGTATATAAGCAGGTAATTTTTGACAAAGAAGCCAGAAAGACACAATGCAGTAAAGATAGTCTCTTCAATAAATGGTGCTGGGAAAATTGGAAAGTCACATGCAAAAGGGTGAAACTAGATTACAATTTGTCCACTTGTGCAAAAATTAATTCAAAATGGATCAAAGACCTTAATATAAGATCTGAAACAATAAATTACATCAAATAAAACATAGGTACTAAACTTATGGACCTTGGTTGTAGAGAACACTTTATGAACTTGACTCCAAAGGCAAGGGAAGTAAAGGCAAAAACAGTGAATGGGACTATATCTAACTAAAAAGCTTCTGCATAGCAAAAGACATCTACAAAACAAAGAGTCAGCCAAATGAATGGGAGATGATATAAAAACAAACAAAAACAACCCAATTAAAAAATGGGCAGAGAACACATGAACAGACACCTCTCCCAAGAAGACATACAAAAAACCAATAGATATATGGAAAGATGTTCAACCTCACTGGCAATTAGGGAAATGCAAATCAAAACTACAATGAGATACCACTTCACACCTTTTAGAGTGGCCATTATCAACAAGACAAGCAATAACAAGGGTTAGATAGGTTGTAGACAAAAGGGATCCCTCATGCACTCCTGGTGGGAATGTAGACTGGGACAATCACTATGGAAAGCAGTCTGGCGATTCCTCAAAAAATTAAGAATAGAGCTACCATATGACCCAGCAATCCCTCTCCTGGGTATATACCCGAAAAACTCAAAATCATGTATTCACAAAGATACATGTGCCCATCTTCATTGCAGCATTATTCACATTAGCCAAGACATGGAGACAACAACCAAAGTGCACCTAGATAGAGGAGTGGATAAAGAAGATATGGTACATATATACACTGGAATACTACTCAGCCATAAGAAAGGATAAAATAGTGCCATTTACAACATGGATGGACCTTGAGAACATTATGCTAAGTGAAATAAATCAGTCAGAAAAAGCTAAGAACCATATGATTCACTCATATCTATATTTATATACTAGAGGCCCAGTGCATGAAATTCGTGCAAGGGGGGGTGTCCTTCAGCCCAGCCTATACCCTCTCCAATGTGGGAGCCCATCGGGATTGGGCCTAAACGGGCAGTTGGACATCCCTCTCACAATCCAGGACTGCTGGCTCCCAACTGCTCACCTGCCTGCCTGCCTGAATGCCCCTAACCACTTCTGCCTGCCAGCCTGATCACCCCCTAACCACTCCCCTGCCAGCCTGATTGACACCTAACTGCTCCCCTGCCAGCCTGGTTGCCCCCAACTACCCTCTCCTGCTGGCCCAGTCACCCCTAACTTCCCTCCCCTGCAGGCCTGGTCCCCCCCTAACTGCCCTCCCTTGCAGGCCTGGTTGTCCCTAACTGCCCTCCCCTGCAGGCCTGGTCCCTCCCAACTGCCCTCCCCTGCAGACCTGATGGCCCACAACTGCCCTCCCCTGCCGGCCATCTTGTGGTGGCCATCTTATGTCCACATGGGGGTGGCCATCTTGTTTGTTGAAATGATGGTCAATTTGCATATTACCTCTTTATTATATAGGATAAAAGCCAAGTGACCGAAACAACCGGAACAACCCGTCACTATGACGCACACTGTGGCGGGCCAACGGTCCCGATGGGGGCAGGGCTAGCCAGCCAATGTCCCATGACCCTCCCTCCCGGCCGGCCCACCCCCTCTTAGCCCCCCCTACCCTGATCAGGGTTGGCCAGCCGGACCCCACCCGTGCACAAATTCATGCACTGGGCCTCTAGTATGAGATATAAAACTGAAACTCATGGACCCAAACAGCAGTGTAGTAGTTGCCAGAGGAAAGGTGGTGGGTGGTGAAGGTGAAGGGAGTTTAATATATGGTGATGGAAAATTATTTGACTTTGGGTGGTGGGCACACAGTGCAATATATCAATCATTTATCATAGAAATGTACACCTGAAACTTATATGATCCTATTACCCCATTAAATTTAAAAAAAGAAAAGATTAGGAAGTCCCCTTAGGCAAAAGGCTGCAAATATAACAGATCTTGCCCTCTGCATTTATTTTTCAAGGGTAGAGGTTTCTATTTTCAAGAGTTCACATCTACTGATGTGAAAATATCCCAACATATTGTGTTAAATGAAAAGAGAAAGTTGTGACACAATATGAATACATGATCACACTTACACTTTTAAAAAGTTATTGCAAATGTATAGAAATGAATGAGAACTACCAACCATAGCTATTTCTAAGAGGGGACTACAATCGGATGAAAGGGTATGTTTCTATAACTGAATGTGTATGCAAACTTCACATTTTCACTCCATGAATATCTCTATTTGAATTTTTAAAAGAATATATATGGGCTTTTAAAAAAAGAACTGGGTGTTTTGGTGACATTTATTAGCTCTCTGTTTGAGAACTTCTCTTAAGTTTAAATTAAAGGAGTAAATACATATAAAGTGCCTACGACAGTGCTTGACATACAGTAAGCCTTCAATAACTATGAGCATCCTTACTGCTGTTATTCCCATGATGTAGAATCAATACCTCTTTCATTTGGTTCAGCGGCAGAGAACATGGCCATGAAACCATTCCCAGCAGTGTTGGCGTCGGAAATCATCTGCACCATCATCTTGTTGCCACTGGACACAAGGGCTCCAGGCCGGAACGTGCCACAGAAGCGCCCAATACGCTGGCCATTGCCGTGGCCATTGTACACATCCACGAAGTCATAGCGGCACAGGTTGTCACTCTCGAGGTCTATGAATCGGAAATTGAGAACTACTACTTTTCCCTTGGGAACCTGCCAAGAGAAAGGCCAATTGGAAAACTGTCATGAAAACAAAGTCTGAGGCCTTCACATTCAGCCAATTACTAGTGATCAGATAAACATAACATCCAAGATGATGCTTTTTCTTCCCTCAAACCCGAACAAAGCCAGAAAAGGTACTCCTAATAAAATATAAATATTTATCAACTTTGACAAATTGCACAATTCTCTAGGGTACACAATGTTATTTCTAAAGAATTATCTCAACAAAGCTTCAAATTATTGGACTGGTTTATTAATTGATGCTGTTACTCAAACATTGCATATTCAAAACACCAAGGCACCCAGAGATACTGTTTGTCAAGGAAACATTTTGAAATGTCACTTCTCACAAATAATACAATGGAACATCTCAATATATAGAACATTTCTAACCACTTAAAACCAAAGGAATTTCCTGGCAATTGTGCAGCTAATTTATAGATAATACTTTGGGTCCTGAAAAATCCAGATCAACTATGTATACTGATTACACTAACTTAGTAATACTGGTAGTTGAATGTTCTCTTTTCAAAGTCACTAAGTTTTGGCTTGTTTTCTAGGTGTTTACCAGGTAACTTTGAAACATGATGTACTGATGAAAAAGATGAGTTTTCACTGCCTCCTGAAACTTTCTTCACCATAATTTCCCCCTTATTATGATGCTTCCCTCCTTGTTTCCTGAACAGGCAAGGAAAAAAATGACTGTAAAATCTTTTGGCAGAATTCTTACAAAAGCTCCATTTATTTTCCAGTTCATATCATCTTTCAATTTCTTCATTAAAGTAGTTTAGTCATAAAGTCTCAGTCAGATTTATTTCACCCTTTCAACTGGGTGAGGTTCCCACTGCATAACATAAAAATTTCACTCTGTAAAAACTTACAGATAACATAGGTCAGTGATTATAAAACACCAAAACACAATGCACAAGCACAAGGTTAGTTTACATTCATTTTAGTGAACTACCACAGATTCAAGAGTCATAAGGACATAACATGGCTTTCCCTGTTGGCGAGTTCAGTGCCATGATTTTTTTTCTATAAGATTAAGTATATCAGTGCTATTTGCCTTTTGTATCAATCATATACCCACCCCAATGTAGAAACAGTAATGGAGTAGTCACAAGAAGGGGAATATTTTGGCCTTGTCTTGGTTACATTACAGTTATTAGATGCTTATATTTTTTTCTTTCAATTTTATTTTGTATTGGTTTTAGATGTACAGCATAGTGGTTAGACAATCATATACTTTACATAGTGTTCCCTTGATATTTCCAGTACCCCAACTGGCCCTATACATAGTTATCACAGTATTATTGACCATATATTCCCTATGCTGTACTTTACTTCCCTATGACTATTCCGTAACTGCCATTCTGTACTTCTTAATCCATTCACCTCTTTCACCCAGTCTCTCAACACCCCTCCCCTCTGTTCTCTCTCTGTGTCTATGAGTTTGTTTCAATTTTGTTTATTTTGTTCTTTACATTCCATGGATCATATGGTATTTGTCTTTCACTGACTGACTTATTTCATTGAGCATAATACACTCTAGGTCCATCCATGCTGTCGCAAATGGTAAGATTTCATTCCTTTTTATGGTCGAGTAATATTCCATTGTACATATGTACCACAGCTTTTCATCCTTATCTATTGGTGGACACTTGGGCTGCTTCCAAATATTGGCTGTTGTAAATAACACTGCTATGAACATAAGGGTGGCATATATCCTTTCAAATTAGTTTTTTCCAATAAATCCCCAGAAGTAGAATCTCTAGGTCATAAGGCAGATCCATTTTTAATGATTTGAGGAAAATGCTCGGAGCTTATGTTAATGGTGTGAATATCAGAAGTTCCAAAGCCACAGTCTAAGAAACTGATAACAGAAAATGCAATATGCAATATAATTTTTAAACATTCTCACTGATATATGTTATAGAACTTTCTTGTTTTTTGTTTTGTTGCAATCTCTATTTTATCCCATGATCAGAAAATTGTGAAAAAATGTGATACCATCTGTAACCTTAAATATAAGCAAGCTCTCTATGACTCATTGAAAAATTCCCAGCCAAGGAAAACACTTTTAGCTGAATTAATTTAATTTGGATTGTCCTTACATGAATAATAACTATTGGTATGAATGTATTGATAATTTTACAGAGGGTAGTTCAGAGCTATGAGACTCTCCACCCAGAGCTGAGTGTTTATTAAAAGGTATGAGACTGAGCCCTTGCCCAGTGGTTAGAGCGCTGGCCCAAGCACCAAAGCATCTCGGGTTCGATTCCCAGTCAAAGGCATGGGTTGCAGGTTTGATCAACACCCTGGTGGGAGCACGTGTGGGAGGCAACCAATCAAGGTTTCTCTCCCTCCCTCCCACCCTCCCTTCCATTATCTTTCAAAATCAATAGGAAAAATATCCTTAGGTGAGGATTAACAAATAAATAAAATAAAATAAAATAAATTAAATTAAATTAAAAAATAAAATAATTAGGTATGAGGCCTAAGATTAGAGCCTTGGGGCACCCCTGTAGCACTGGGCCTTCAAGATGAGGTCAAACCACAACAGAAACAGAGTTAGTAAGTGGAAGGCAACCAGAAGAGTGGTGCCTAGAAGCCAAGTGAAGAGACTGTGTCCAGGAGGAAAGACTGGCCAGCTAAGTCAAGAGGAAGGTGAGGATTGAGAAATGATCGCTGGGATAGCAACCAGAGGTCAACAGTTATTCTGGCGAAGTTGTTTTTGTGGAGCAGTAAGTGAAAGGGTTAAAGAGAATAAAACAGGGCAGAGAAAAACTTATTGTGCTTAGCAGATATCTTGCAGAAAGCTTGCAGCCTTGAGCACAGCATAGCTCAGATAACAAGAAGACACCTGGCATGGGAGGAACTAAGGATGGACCAGACCCTTATGTCAGCAGAGTAGCTTACAGCCAGCAACAATTAATAAAAACCTATCTCTCCCTGCTCTTTTCACTGATGTGTTTCTTGGTCTCAGCCCACCTGCACCCAGGTGCCTGGAATAAAATCTTTTTTGATACATTATGGCCTTATGTCATAGGTGTATGACCCCGGCCCACTCGGAACCTTTCAGTAAGGAGAAAGGCTGTAGAGAAGGATTGAAGAGAAAATGGAGAGGAATTGGTGATAATAAATATAGACAAACCTTTCAAGGAGATTTTATGGAAGGATAAACAGAGTAATATGGGGGTTACTGGAAGAGGATGTGAGGTGAAGACAGGATTTTACAAGGGGCTATATTAAGGCATATTTGCATCCAATGGGAATAATTCTGTAGAGAAGGCAAAACTGATGAAATAGGAGAGAGGGAGAACTGCTGGAGAAATGTCATTGAGCAAGCATGGGGAGATGTGATCTAAGGCACGGTTCACCCAATGAGCAGAGGGAAGGTTGGCACATGCAGGTTAGTAGGTGAGGCTGTGAGAGCACATGAAACTTTTCTTCTGATTACTCTTCTTTCGGTAGTAAAATGGAAAACAAGGTCCCAGCAGCAAGAGCAGATGTAAAGGCAGCTTTGGGAGTTTGAGAACAGAAGAGAAGGTGTGTAATTGGACTAGGGAAATATATCAGGCTGCCATGCCACAATCAGCTCCCTGGGTGGGGATGTAGAGGAGGCAGAGATATGGATTTAAGCAGTAGTAAGTTGGGGGCCAGGAGGGAGTGGTGTTTGGAAGGACTATGGAAGAAGAGAAGGCTCTCCTAGGTGAGGATGTAGCAGGAGGGTGACCACAAAATGGACCATGGAATTCAAGCTGGGTAAGGACATAAATCAGCACAGTAACAACCTACATTGTGGTGGAGGAAGGATAATGACAATGGAAGTGGGTGCCTAAGGAATAATGGAGGATAAGCTCATTGGAGGAGAGGAGGTTAAAGACTCAAAAGGATCAGCCACATAGACATTGAAATTACTATGAATTAGACAAGGAAAAATGTTGAAGACAGTGACTGACCAGGAGCTAAAATGTACAAGTGAGGAGATCTTTAGATGACTGCAACAAGAAGGAGAATAGCGCGGCATAGTCTTGTTTCATTGCTAAATTCTCAGTTATTTGATACTAAGAAAATTATGTTCATTCATTCCTGTAGTCTGGCAGTTGACATGGATACAGGCCTTGGCTACTCATCCTCACTGGGGTAAATCATGCCTTCCCAAAAATTCTTTATTTGGTCCCATTGCAATGAAACATTGAAGCTTCTCTGAGAATGAGCACAATATGTTCACAATAGAAACTGGATCACATCATTGTAATTTTGAACACATGATGATCCCAACAAGCCAGGCAAAAACTCTTCAGAAGGAAGCATGCAGAGATCTGTACCAGTCGTGAAACTACTGTAAATAGACACAAATGCCATCTTGCACTGAAGGCCAGTGAGAGGCACACTGCAGCAAGCATGTTCACTTGTCACAGGGCGGCTGCCATTCACACTGTGTGAGGAACCAAGACTGCCCAGTGCCGTGGGCTGTGAACTTTGCTGAGTCCCTGTACTGTCATCCTAAAGGAATTTGGAAAACATATTCTCTGAAGCTGACCCTTCCACTTGAAGAATCTACAGTCTGTATCCTTGATTTTTCCTTGTTAGGAATATTATGAAAATACAGAAATATACAGAGATATATAGAGCAATAAAACAAACATCTGGACACCAACTTCCAGAATTGATTACTGATAACATTTTGTCAACATATTGTTAAAGTCTTTCATAAAACAGATTAAAACTTTCAGATAAAATAGGTTATTTTTGTCCTTGTTCCAGGACCCCTTTCTCCCTTCTCAAAAGCAACTGAAAAGAATTTTAGAGACAGGACAGGCAGTTTTAGGGAAAAGGGGATTTCATGGGAGAGGAATGCATTTGTAATGGGAAGGAAATAGCTCCAAGACACCAGAATGCTTATCTTACTTTTGCAGAGGATAGAGAAATGTTACAAGAGGAAGGCATCCATTCATAGAGGATAGAGAAATGTTGCAAGATAAGGG